AAATGATTGTATTTATATTATATTTTAATAATTAAATCAAAACAAATGCAAGAAAATATATTGTAATATGGTTAAAATGATTAACTAGAAACAATTTACTCTTTAAAAATGAAGTATGAACAGTCTCATCCAACTTAGATACTTTTAATGGATGGCTGAAAAACAAAGTGGAGAGAGGTGTTTTCAATATGCTGATTGATGTTTACATCCAACATATAAATAAAAAAGTGACGACAAGGTAAGAAGGAGACGTGCAGTGCGGTTTGGTCTTGAGTTGGTGCAGTCAATTTTCGTATATTGAGTTGCAATTGTGTGTGTGTGTGTGTGTGTGAGTAAAAATTTAGTTATTTGTATTCAAATTGGAATACCTAGGCAACAACTTCCCCTGGTCCAAAGCCTAAAAAACCTTAACTATTTGTTAACACACATAATCGGAACACACTCCATGTGGCAGTATGCCTTTCTACCCTGAGCACTATAAATCCCCTCGCACATTCCATTCTCCATCATCAAATCTTAAGCATTCCATCAGCTTTAAATTTCTCTGCTGTTTTTCAGCGTTGATCCAAAGAACAAAAACCCTTCCAGAAGAAGATGAGTTCCACCGAGAATGCAAGCTTTCAAGCCGGCCAGGCTGAGGGCAAGACTGAGGTTACTACATCACACTTCTACATGCACATTAATGATCATAAGCCAATTTCCATGTTGCTTCCGCACAAAAGATTTCCTATATTCGACATTTCTACGAGAAAATGTTACAGTGCAATCCATCTTGCATTAGTTTTAACTATTGATAGAGAAATCAGACTCATAGTATCAAGAGTCTGTTCCCTCTATTAATGATTAAGTAAAGTGCGATCTACATGGGGTAGACTCTATGGACTGCACTTCACTTTTATCATTGGCCTTACATTTATTTTTCTGCGTCTCTGTTTCTTTTATCAGGAGAAGGCCAGCGGCATGTTGGACAGGGCTAAAGAAACTGCCCAAAATGCTAAGGATTCCATGCAACAGGTTCATCAAAAAATCTTTTCATTTATTAACTTCCACTATTTTATGAGAATGCAGAAGTTCAGTCTGAACTGTCAAAAATATTTCTGCCATTTTATTTACAATTATTAGTTATTTAGTTTTATCTCTTTTTTCTTTTTCTTTTTTTCTTTTCCTTTTGTTGTTTGTAATTTTGAGATTGAATACTTATTATGGTGCAGAGCGGGCAGCAGATGATGGAAAAAGCACAAGGAGCAGCGCAGGCTGCCAAAGACAAAGTCAGTGGAAAATGAAACTAGCTGGTGGCTCTCTCCTCCAACCTTCTGGAATTTCATCTTTAGCTGTTTCTTTGTCTTCTTTCTTTTAATTCTCAGCCCAATGTGGTGCTGCTTATCCGCTTATGAATTTATTCTCATTCCTTTCGGCTTTACTAGTCTTCAATTCTAATAAACGATTTATTTTTAAAAAAATTTGCCACTGCTTCTTCCATCAAAACTGAAATGTAATCTTTCTTTTTATCATGATGGATAAAGGACTGGGATATCATATTAAACTTACTCATCTATTAATAATTAAAAATAATTAAAAATAACTTAGTTTATATAAAATAGATTACATTGCAATAGTCTTTTCTTCAATTAGAAAAATATATCGTACTATATCTTAAATCAAATAAAAGACAAAACAACTAAAAACCACATCCAATAAAGTTAGAGTTGGATGCTAACTCCAATGTTTCAGAAAGTGCTAGAATTGCAAGATGATGATGGGCATTGGACCGCTTAGGCGCTCTAAGCATTTTACTTCGGCAATGAGAAATGAGGGGGAAAAAGGGTTAATTTAATGACAACTGCTTCCGGATTATGAGAAAATACTGTAGGTGAATTTAACGACTGTAGAAATTCAAGCGACGACATCAAAATCCAAATGTTTATATCCCATCAAAAAACTCAAAGACATCAAACAGTGATTTAATTCTGAGAAAAAGAAAGGCTAGAAGTCTCAAAATGAAACACATACACAATTATCTCAATGCAAAGGAGTAATTTTTTAAGGAAAATACTACAAACGACACCCTTTTTTCTTTCGCATTTGTTACACACTCCACCTCCGTTACTTTACATTAAGTCTAAACTTACACAGCTTAGCCCTTTCTTTCTCTCTCTCCTTTCTTTCACCCTCTTGCTATTCACCATCCTTACCAGATTCATCTTCCTCCTCACCTCCATCCTCATCCTAATCATATGTTGCCTCATCTTCCTCTTCTTCATAATCATCAGTTTCATTAGCATAGAACATGAAGTTGAGAAAGTGGAAACCTACAAAGGAACCCAGATCTGGTGTTGGGGAAGGGGAGAGAAAAGGAAAGGATCTAGAGGTTGAAGATAAGGATTTAGGAACCCAGCAACCTGAGTTCCTTCGAACTCTTCTCATTTTAGTTAGCCCTTTTATCTCTTGCTTGTGGCTCGAGACACCTTTTTGGCTTCTTCTGTATTACTCTTCTCAAGTGGGCTTCATGGATGTGGGAAAAGAAATCGAGTATAAAAAAGAAACTAATTTCATATTTTCATTGGGGAAATCATATTTGCCGTCTTTCTGTTGCCCAATTAGAATGATGAGAATTGAAATTGCAATTTTGGTTATAATAGAGAAAACCCATATTTGGGTTTGTTGTCCTCAAGGAAGTTGTAGAATTTATTTTCTTTTTTGGGTTTCTTTTTGAATGGCCTAGCCATGGTTGCTTTCTTCATTTCCTCTCATTTTCATTCAAATTTTGGTTATGATTTTATTCTTTTTTTATTCTCTGATCAATATTATTCCAATTAGAAGATAGGATTTTCTTCTTTTTTCTTTCACCTTCTTGGTTGCAAGAGATTGGGGGGTTTATTGTATTTTGTAGGGGTGGAGAAGATGGATGAGAGGGTTCCTGTGCCTGATTTGGGGCTTTCTAAATGTGTTCTTGCATCCTTAAATGCCTGAAAATTCATGTGTCATTTTAGTAATACAACCTGCAAGAACCATTCCAAGCAAAAAAGTTAAAGAGTGCAAAGGAAACAATGATTTAGTGCAAGGCTTCAAGTCCTTTCTTCTGAAGCTTGAGGGAGAAGTGGATGAAATTGTAGGATTCATTTGGGGCTTTTGGGAGTTAACAAAAAGTACCAAAGAATGGGTGTGTGTAACGAAATGTGTAATGGAGGAGCGTGAATGTATCATTGTCCATTTTTAAAACATGCAAATAAGATATCAACTGATGAACAGGTCAGGATCAACGAAGAGAAAAGAGAGAGGAAGAAAAACCTAAAACCGATCCAACAAGTCCTACCATAAACGGTATGACGAAGACTGGTTACCTCAAAGATGAAAACATCAGAGCTAATTTTGTGAAAACATCAATCTTGCATCCTTAATTCACCTCTATGCACATATTGTACAATTTAAATTTATAATATCTTACTTTTATTAAAAAGAGATTACTATTAAACTAATTAAGTCGTTAACCTTGTTGATGTCATTTTAGTTGAACTAGAAATCTATAAAGCAATTGTTGATTTATTTATGTGGTTTAGATTTTTTTTTTTTTAAATCACTAATTTTAAGTAAAATATTGCATTTATTTTCACCGAATCTCTTCTTTGTTTTACTTTAAAATAATAAAAAAATTTAAAAAAATCAAGACATCTGATATTTAAATGTCAAAATTTTATGTAAAATTGTTCAAATATATTGTGTGAATTCATTAAGAGTATTTTGATTTTTTCAAGTTATCGTTATCAATCCTAACATTTTAGTTGGTAGTCGGTAAGATGTCTTAATTTTCTTCCATAATACGGATAAAAACTTATTCTTGGTATGAGAGTATTTTTGTTTCGTACACTACTTAAGGCCAATTATGCTCTGGCTTTGTTGGATGTGCTTTTACTGTAATATGATCTTTCCAGGGAAGAAACGGTTGCACATTAAAAACAAAAATTCATTTATTATAGCTCATAAGGGAATGAGGACATTCAAAAGCAGCCCCTCATTAGGCTTAGAATCTATAGTCCATCATTATTAGATTTTCTAAAAATTAAGCTCAAAATCAAAAGAAAGAAAACCAAGAAAACAGTTAAAGATGAAATTCCAAAAACCGGGTCGGCCGGGAGAAAGTTGGACAAGATATGGCCACTACTATAGTTAATTTAGTTTCATTTCCCACTGATTTTGTCCTTGGCAGCCTGCCCAGCTCCTTGTGCTTTGGCCATCATCTGCTGCCCACTCTGCAACATAACAAGTATTACAGATAACAAATCCAAAAAACTGAACAACTAATTGTAAATTAATAAAATCGCAAAAAGTGTTTTACAAATCGGATTGATGAATTTTCTGCAATCTTATTAATTTGTGGGAAATAAATTAAAAGAATTTTTCATTGAACCTCTTGTATGGATTCCTTTGCATTACTTGCTGTTTCTGCAGCCCTATCCATCAAGCTGCTGGTCTTCTCCTGACGAAAGAAACAAAGACACAGAAAAACAGTGAGTTTATTACTACGCCCCACAAAAATAGCAACAACTAAAATGCAAAAGGCAACTTTTATAACTTATCTGGTTTGAAGGAGACGAATAGTGGGATGGGAAGTGATTTATTTTGATCAATTAAATTAAATTGTTGAAACAATAAAATAATTTAATTGGTTATAAGAATTTTTCCTTCTCTCTAACTAAACATCTTATTTGTGTTTCAATATAAAATTAAGATGTAGAAGCAACATGGAAATTAATTGACTCATAATCATAAATGTATATGCGTAGAAGTGCGTGATGAAGTAACCTCAGCCTTGCCCTTGGCCTGGCCGGCTTGATAACTTGCATTCTCGGTGGAACTCATCTTCTTCTAGAAGGGTTTTTGTACTTTGGATCAACACTAAAAGCAGGAGAGAAATTTGAAGCTGATGGAATGCTTAAGATTTGATGATCCAGGATGGAATACGTGTGGGGGGATTTATAGTAGTCAGGGTAGAAGGGCATGATGCCACATGGAGTCCATTCCCGATTATGTGTTAATAAATAGTTCAAGTTTTTTAGGCTTTGGACAAGGGAGAGTTGTTAGTTGTTATACCCAGGTATTCAAATTCGATAACGAAGAACTAAATTCGATTATAAGACCTAAAATAATTCAAGCAAAAATATATATCTTTCCTATTTGGATATATATATATATATATTTATAGAAAGAATAGTACAAGAATAATATGTAAATTATATACAATATAAATATCTTAAGTTACTGATAATAAAAATACTTAAAAAGATCTTGAGAACAACCATGAAGAAACTCATTATAAATAAAATAAAAAAATATTTTATAGTTTGAACTGATCTAAATTATAAATTATTAATTATTTTATAAGAGTTGTGTCCTTTAACATTAAGAACTCTTTTTTATCAAATAATTCTTGTTTTACCATCTGAATTATTTTAACCTGTAAAACAAAATTTTCTAAATAAAATTATATAGCCTGGAAAAATAAAAGTTGGGCTATACTATAAACGACGTAATGAAAACAGTTACCTCAAAAATAAAAAATATAATCTTTATTATTTAAATTTTAAATATTTTTTATTAATTCTGCTAACTTCAAGTAAAATATTGCTTTTGTTTTCTCAGAAATTTATTCTATTTTTCTGAATAATTAATAAAATTATTTTGTGGACGCAAATAAGTCAAATAGATCACAGGTAAAAAGGCCAGGCCCAGCGATAGCATAGGGCTAGTTAAGAGACTTATTAAATATAAATATATACAACGAAGTCAAGCCCTCTTCTGCGCTTCTGGCTGTTACTCGCGACTCGCAAGCCCAAAACTCGTCTTCGACAGCTACTGCTCTTATCGTCGTCTTCACTTCCTCCTTGTCTTCTTCCGATGGAACACAAGGTTTGTTATTTTGCTTGACTATTTGGTTGCAGAACTTTGGACGCAGCTTCAGAGTTTTGATTGTGAAAAACTCGTTATGTTTATCTAAAGTTTTCTGATTCAACAATAATTGGTATAATGCACTTTTCATTCTTTTTGTGATTTAATTATTAAAATATAATATAATTATAATTAATTTAATTAATTTTTATATAAATAGTTATATTTTTTAGTACTATTCATAAGTGTTTTATCTAATTTTTTAATTTTAAATAATAATTTTATAATAAATATTGTGGATATATTAATTAATATCCTTTCTAATTGGTGCATCTTGTTATTGTCCTGTGTTTCTACTAAAAAATTTTATTGAAGCCGTGAGATACTTTGTTTGTACATTGCTATCTCCAACCCATTTTAGCCGTCACACTAATTTTTTGCATCCACTTTTGTTGTTATTTTTATATAGTATACGATGTGCAAATTAAATTTATTTATTTATTAATTATTTAAATAATTTTATTTGATAAAAAAATATTCAATTGTAAGTCATACGTTATATAACAACTAGGTAATATTATGGTATTCAGCTACATGTTTTACATGTATTGGAATTTGTTTTTTTTAATAAATTATAATTATTTACATATTAATTGAGAAAATAAAAAAATGAATTCCTTATAACTAAAACACGTAATTTACACAAAGTGAACGGTTTTAATTAAGGTGCAATTACTACTAGACCAAAACAATCCGTTCGTATTGAGATTTGTTTTAGTGTTAGGTTGTCGTGTTTTTTTAATTATTTTTGCCAGGTTACCTGTGCATTTGCAGACAAGAAAACCTGTTTAATCTGTTCTCTCTATTTATGTTATTTATGTTATATATGTTGGTTTCTACTTTTTACATGCTCTATTACAATGAGCAGGGGTGGAAATTATGGCTAAGGATCTTCCAAAGGATTTAGTCTCTAACGTGCTGCGTCGACTAAGTGCCAAGAGTCTTCTACGATTCCGTTGTGTATCGAGGTCATGGTGTTCTATGATCGACGATCCCCTTTTTGCTGAAGTCAGCTTCACAGAGACTTCAATTTCATCGTGCATGGTCACCATAAGAAGCTTCGTCAGATGCAGATGTTCACCATATACTTATGTCCACACGACAACATCGTAGGAGATCACATTCTAACTTTGAAAGATCACGAGTTCATCCTCGACAGCATGACTTTACGAGGTTCGTCTAATGGCTTGGTTTGTTTAGCCGATCAAGGGAATGTCATCATATGCAACTTGTCGACCAGAGTTTTCCATAATGTGAAATTGCTGCCGGAATATACCACAGATAAATTTTGGTTTAGTTATGGTTATGGATTTGGGTATGACTCCATCAATGATGATTACAAAGTGGTAAGAGTCGACCGCAGAAGATACGAAGAAATTTCAGGTTATGAAAATACCGTTGAAGTTTATAGCTTGAGAAAGGATTCATGGGATAGACCTCAAAGCAACCTCCCCTCTTTTTTTCATAGATCAAGCATATCCGATGCAGATCCGGTACTCGTTTCTGGTGCTCTCCACTGGACGAATTGGGAGGACAATAAAGATAAAACCATTCTTGGTGTTTGCTTTTGATCTCGCCACGGAAGAGTTTGGCAAGATTGATTTGCCAGTGAAAACAGATAGGCCACCAGCCATGGGAGTACTTGGAGGCTGCTTGACCCTGACATGTAGCTGCATTGATGTGGAGTATGATATTGAGTCATGGGTGATGAAGGATTACATGGTGCAAGAGTCTTGGACTAAACTTTTTCGTACCTCGGCGGTCGGATATGATGGAGATTTGAGGCCTATAACTTATTCAAGGGACGGTAACAAAATTCTCGTGCTAAGTCCAATTGATTGCTTCTTTTATTGGTACCATGTGGAAAGTCAAGTTTTGGTATATGTTGATATTCGCGGTTATAGTGGATTGGCAATAGCTCCTTATTCGGAAAGCCTCGCCTCAGTAAGTGCTTATAGAGGATGCGACAAGAGACTCCGGACAGCTAAGGAAACAATCTCGGGATGTGATTTGGGAAACAAGAAAAGAAAATTTTGAGTATAATCAATTTGACTTCTTTCTTACTCTTTTTCTCCAAAATTTATAGCTACAAATGCTACATCCTTTGTTATTCTGCATCGTTAACAGTAAAAAATGCGGTATTGGACGCATTCTTCTAAGTATTGATAGAAGTATGGGTGATTAACAGATTCGATTCCTTATAAATAATTATAAGAAATGTAATCATATTATTTTAAAATATATTTAGTTATGTTGATTTTTTTTTAAGAATTCTTTTATATTTTTATAATTTTTTTTATAATATGAAGGTTAAATGTTAAATTTGGTCCCTCAACTTTAGTGAGAAGTATGGGTGATTAACAGATTCGATTCCTTA